CTCGCGACATTACTGTTGTTTACGAAAATGAGAGGACGAAAAGCGAATGTCCGGCGCTTTAACCGGATTCCAAACCAATGGTGCACATGGGTTCCAGTATCCTGAGGGAACAAATGGCGTATGACCCAATTTCTGGTCATTGGCTATCATGTGACTGCATCTCCTTACGATGCTCCACTGCCTTGTGGGTCAGACCTTCAGGTCGAAGACTCCGGGTGTGGCTCCCTAAGAAAACCACCTGCTTCGGTTTGGGCACCCGAGCAGTATCACAACTCACACACAAATGTAATGATAATGAAAATGTGTGGCGCATACATATTTGGTGCCCTCTTGTACCAATATTTATGTGTTCAAATAAATAATTAATTAATTAATCACCCACCAGAATAGTATAGGATAGTATGTACATTTCATTAACTTTATGTCGTTACGGTACAACAGAGATCTAATAAAAGCTCCTAATTATCGAATGAGTACTATATGGTCTGCTGATATAATTAAAGAAGAACCAAAATAAAAACGGATACCATTGAAAGTTTATGAAAACAAATATATGACCACTGGTTAGGATTAGGGAAACACATAGTGAATAAGTATTCAATGTTCATGCAACCGGTCGGATTATGCATGAGTAAACTACATATTTATACTTGATATTTGTCTGTTAATCAATATTTTCATTTACAGGTTCCATTTCCACTAGATGAATTACGAATGTCAATACACTGTACAATCGAGTACCAATCAATTACTTACTTACTTACGCCTGTTACTCCTCGTGAAGGAACATAGGCCGCTCACTACCAATCAATCCTAAATCTAATTAATATTACTCTTACAACAAAAAATTACGTTATTTAATTGGTGAATTTTTAAGTATTTAAATTACTATCAAGATAATATTCGACCTAATGTTATGAAGTTTGAAGTAGTCTTCAGATAAGTTTCGTTGAAACTAATCAGTAAGGCATGGTTCCTGTCAGATTTCATATACATCTTATTGATGAGTTGCAGTAGGCAATAAGTCTAGAACCAGTATTTCTTTCCAACCACCCTCAATTATCGAGCATTCAAACATAGATATTTAGTGTGTTAGATACATTTCAACATCACCAATAAAATTGCATAAGTAAGATGGATTATTTAAACGGGACATTTGTAACTACTCAGTGATGAATCATTTTCATATTGATCATAACACATAAAACAACTTTCGGTCGAAATGAATACTTGAATCCATTAACTGTCGTTATTTTTATGACCTTTGAAGAAAAAGTTCTTTCATCAACTAATAACTAAACTCATAAGTACATTTCTTTAGTTGTCAAGATCCCGTTTAATTTAATCCTTAATTACCTATTAAAGTCATCATTGACCTTCTGTAATCAGTTAATCCCTGATATTATCACCTAATATAAATATAATTTAAACATGAATATCACAACTTAATAACCGCTATCTTCAAGTAACTAGTTATATTCTAGTCTAGAAAAAACATAGAGAAACCTACATACTTTAACCGTTACATTAAACAGTTCATTCATTGTATTATGGCTATTTTTCAATTTTACTGAAACATTTCTGTGGGTTGACATGTCATATACATACAAATAATTGATCAGTAATAAAACTGCTATAGAAACAATTTATAAGAATGAGTATTAATCCCTTGCGATAGTAATAAAAACAGATAAACAATGTTGGCTAATAACTGTGACTTATTAGAAGTAGACCTTCAATATAAGCGAATTATGGATATTGGCAAAAGACTTCAAAATTTAGTCTTTATTATCAATAACAAGATAATTTCAACGTTTATTAAATCATGATATAAACATCACACCTGTTGGACGAGTGAATGGCTTTCTGGATCAGTGTAAAAAGTTTTCCGTTGGGATTCTTGTCTTAAAAAACAATATTAGTATAACCGACTTAGGTATTGATAGTGGCTAGCAGTGGAATCCAGGACGCGCGTCTCGTCCTATTTGGGAATCATCATCTCAGGGTTGATGTTCAATCTGGGACTCGAACCCAGTACCATTCGCTTCAAGCGCCATCGCGTTATTCACTCAGCTACTGAGTCCTAATAGCCAGCTGACGAGTCCCAAATAGGACGAGACGTGCGTCCTGGATTCCACTGCTAGCCACTATCCATCATTGCTTACAAAAAGCTTGTGAATTAAGGTAATATCGAGGCGTACGCACAGTATGCACATATGCCAATAACAGACTGATCAGTTTGTAGTCTTAAACCTCAATGGGAAGATACAAGCCAAACAATACAGACCTAGGTATTTCCTTGATAGTCATTCATTCTAATATAAATCCATGTTGTTCATCCCGACCGTTGTTGCTACCTTGACGTGGTGGTCGGGCTTGCCTATCGTGATGAAGCAACCGAGCTATACTGGCTGGAACAACCGTTCCTCAAGGTCCTACCATGTCAGACAGGTCGGTTGAAGAGCGGTAAGACTAAAAGCAACAAACCCAAGGTCCGAAGGCGAAGTCGTACTGCTGACTGTACAGAGGTGTGACGGCAGTAAGGTGTTTCCTTCAGACAACCAGCATGACAGCGATGCTGCCTTCCCACAAGGAGGGGTGGGGTTAGAAAAGGTCGACCCTAAAAATGAACACCTCATCTTACCTCACGGATTTCCGTCTCCGGCTGTAAGGCCCTTTGAAGAACGGAGCTAACACGTCACAAACCTCTCACGAAAAGGCCGTGAGCGACCGGCCTCAAGCAGTTGTCCCTTGGGCACTGCGGTCACGTTCTCAGGTCACTGAGACCGCCTCTGATCCAATTTCCTTTTCAGGTACCTCCAGAAGAACCCTTCCACGGTGTGGGCAACCGGGAAGTGATAACCGCCCTCATACCTCTAACAGCACTCAAGACCACTGTATTCATAATCAACCTTCCTCCATATTGTTCATCAATAATATGAAAATTTCCATTTAGTTGACAAGTTCAAATCTCTTGATCTGAACTAATTCATATTACATCATTTTGCATTTGAGGTTAATCAAAATAATTTATATTTTGTGTTATATTGTTCATGGTTTTAATCCATTAAGTTCAAATATTTGTTACAGTTGATTCTTAAAGATTTTACAATTTTATTTAAAATATGATTATACCCTCATGATAGTATAGTTACTATTAGGAATTCTAATTGTTATTTATTCAAATTTGAAGAGTTTTAGTGATTATCGTTAGTTTATAACTGAAAACATAATCGTTAGACTTACTGCCAATTTGAAGATCTTATGTTTTATCCTTGATGAACTCGTCTGTGACCCATACTAGTATGAACATCTATCAAAATCTTGTTGGCTATTAATGTGACACCAGACTCAAGTTCTAGTTCATGGTATGGACATGGATTCGAATCCCACCTCCGACACACATTTACCTCTATCTATACTAGGGAAGTCCTACTCACCGCCTTCTCTCAATGGTGGTGTTACTTAAGAAATTGAGAGGACAAAAAGAGAATGTCCGGAGCTTTAACAGGATTGGTGGATACGGACGAATCACCTAGGGGAGTTGGAAAACTCTGATTCCAAACCAATGATTCACATATGCTCCAGATCCTGAGGGGGCAAATGGCACATAAACCTATTGTTGGTCACCGGCTACCATGGGACTGCGTCTCCCACCGTTCCTCCACTTCCTTGTGGATTAGACCTCTAGGTCAGGGACTCAGGGAGTGACTCCCGAAGAAAACCACCTGCTTCAGTTTAGGCTCCCAGACAGTATTCCAGCTCTCACACAAGTCGAATGTCAAAGTGTGCCGTATATATATATCTGATGCCACCTTGTACCAATCTTTGTGTATTTAAATAAATGATAAAAAATAATCCTGATAGATTCATGACAAATATCAATTAATGAATAATAATGTTCACAAATTACTTTACCTATTCTACAATTTTTTATTATGGTTTATTTGTTTGAACACAAATATTGGTACAATGGGGCATCAGATACATATGCGCCACACAATAATAATGAGAGTGGAAGAGATAAAGAATGTAAGGCGCATGTAAGAAAAAAGAACAATAACGAACACAAATTAGTGTATGGTAGTGAAATAATAATAATGGAGGGGGAAGGGAACAGAAAGGTACAACCAGAAATAATTTTCTCAGTTAAGAAGTTACGGTCACTTTTCATGAAGAAAGTAAAAGAAGGCTACAGTAGGATCGCCACTGGCTTCTATTCTGAGCCATATCTGATAACGTCTCTAGCCACTGTGTAGCACCAATCTAGGACCCCAACCAGGGAGTCGTGAAGGAGCAACAGGAGTCATTCCTGTACAGCGTCCTTTCGTACCAGGACACCATGTCATATACTGACCACCTCTCCGCTTTTTCCAACCAGTCCCAGAGTCGGCAAATAATGCACGACGTGGAATTCTCTGGGACGACACTCGTGGAACATGTCCAAGCCACCGAAGTCGATGTCTCAAGATGGTGACACCGATTGGATTATCCTCTCTGCGTCCAAACACACGAAGCCGAACCTCTGCATTACTAACATGGTGTTGCCACTGGATGTCAGCAATCCTTCGGAGACAACTATGATCGAACACAGAGAGTCGTCTAACATCCTCAACTCGGAGAGGCCAGGTTACACAAGCATAGAGCAAAACTGCTCTCACCGACGCATTGTAGATCCGACCTTTACAGCCAGACTAACATCACGAAGGCTCTGAAGATGGCCAAGATTTGCATAAGCCGCTCATTATACGCGAATTGATCTCATCACACACTTCCATGAGCACTTATGTAGCTACCTAGATACACGAACTTCTCGACTACTTCTATTTGCTCACCATCCAGGATGAGTACAGGATTAGAATACTGCCAGTCTTGTAAAAGTACTTTACAATTATCAAAATTTTCAATGTTTTACTCTATTTAATCTACTTGGTAACAAATTAACAATGATTTCATATAATCCTTTTTTCATAGTTTGATCAGAAAATCCTTTGAAACAAATGAATGAATCAAATATCTTATATCATCGTCCATTATATCCACGTATGGGTGTACAACATATACATAAAGAATTTATTAAATTAGGAACAAAATTTGAAAATGAGAATTCAACTATCATAATGAAAAATTATAATTCTAATAAATTTTTAAAAAAAAATTCTATATCACTAATTGAACAACAAAAAAAAGAGAATAATAAATTACAAGAGAAATTGAAAACAATGAAAAATGGACAAATATTACTGAACACAATTATGCCAACTACAAGACAACCAATTAAAGCAAAGCATATATTACGCAATCAAGATATATCTGAGTTGTAAGTGTATTGGTATTGGTAATGTGAATTTCTACTGTAATGTGTGGTTATTTGGGTATTAAACGTCTTCTATGAGATTGAAGGTTTTGAGTTCGATTCCTGGTATAATCGAACTAAAATAGGTGAAAGGATGGTTTGTATCTTACAGATACAGTGATTAAAAGATATAGGATCTAATCATGAAAACTATTGCTTCATTATTATTCAAAAATGAATAGATAGACATGTTCAAATGTCATAAATGTTTTTTTCTACATTTGCACAGTTGTAATCATGAGTCGCTCTAAACTAAACAAGCACTGCAAACCTACAAGCACTGGAAGACCGTTTCATCCTAATACGAAACTCTTCAGCAGTGTGCATCCAAGACTTCGTACGTGTAATTCGAATCAAGAACCTCCGGTCTCGCACACTAAGGCTTAATCTCTAGACCATTAGGTCATTTATTATTTTAACAAAAAACATTTTAATATGATATTGGGTTTTAAAATCATATATAAATCACAGTGACTACATACATGTATTTAATCTCATAATACATGAATTTAATGACAGGTTAGAAAGTATATATATGATATATGTTAGTTAAGTGAACAGTATGTTCGTTAGAATATAGTTTCCAATGTAATAATTTAACGAAAACTAAAAAAACGGATTGAATAAGAACACTATTTATGTCTACATTTATATAACCCGTAATTATATATCGATTATAGTTGCTATGGTTGTTTCTAATACCCAAATATTAAGTATTTATATGTATATATATTTCATTTTCAGAAATACGTCCATGAGAAATGAACAGAATCCTTGTAATAGTTCAATTACTGATGATGTTAATTGTTGGAGGACAACTAACTGTGATGCAACTGAATCAAAAAGGTTGTACATAGTAGTTCGATTGCATCATCACCAACTGATTTATGTTCTCGTCAAACAATAAAAATATGTCCTAATCCAGATATACAAAGAAGAGTTAGTACAGATGGTGTTTCATTGACAAAATCACCAAGATTCACAGATTTAAGTTGGAGTAATGGTAAGATATTCAAACTCATTTTGAAACTTATCCTGCTAGGATTGATCAATAGATTGTTTTTTTTTCTCTCGACAGAATCATTAACGAATAAGACTGTAATGGTGAAATTGAGGTATTTCAGTCCATTTTCGGGCCAGTCGAAGGAAAAGTTGGTTTGCGTAAATTATATATAGCTTAAAATTTATGGTGTCACAATGGATATAAAGTTAAAATTTCGAAAATATTCTTCTAGGCTGTTGATAGTTTTCTCCGTCTTCAAACCATAAAGACACCTGATAAAAGAATCGATCAGCTGGATCGTATGCCATTTTTTGGAAACAAAATAGATTTTTCAAGCTTACCTATATTATCTCAAAGTTGTTTGTACGGAGACTCACTAAATTATCTACGAAATGTCATTCATAGCTAACAACTTCGTAGTTGTACCGTAATCTGTAAACTTTTCTACATAATCTCCAAACTTCTATGTAAACAGTTATACTATAGCGACTGTCGAAATCAACGTCACTGGAGACGGATGCAAAACTAGAACTTTATAGTTGAAACTCAAATGACTCAGTGATTACAAATATAACGGCAGTCAGATATAAGCTGCGTTATTTATTTGAAAAGGTTCTGAAATTTAAAAAAACTTGTGTTTATTTAATTATTTTTTAGGCTGAATACATTCACCAAGTTATTTTAGTTTACAATTGTGATATATAAAAATTGTTGTTTAATCATATTTGAATTTGTGATAGATAAATCCACACCAGCAAAGCGACAGAATATAGAGCATTCCTGTATACCACCGGATGTGGATCTATCGAATAGGTAAGTCTATTGGTGATATGATTTTTTGTGTTACAATGTGGTACATTGAGAAATTCCCGATCTTAGAAGGGTAATTTTAACTCAGTCAGTTAGTACATGTAAAATATAATGAGGGATTCCCAAAGAAACTATTTATGCGAATACTTCAAAATCCATTTTGTTTAAGGCATGTATAATTAAATAGCTGAATTCATGAGTCAAATTAAGCTAGACCACCACTGAAAATTGGAAGCACTAAACGGCTGTTTCGTCCTGGTATAGGGCTCCTCAGCAGTGCGCATCCATGTCCAGTGCTTCCAAGTTTTCAATGGTGATCTAACTAAAATCGACTCATGAATTCAATTATTAAGTTACTACAATCTCCACAAAACCTCATTCTAATGTACAATCATATAGGGATTTGTTTGTTATTTGATTTAACGAATATCAGAATTACGTCTACTATTGACAATAGTAATCAATAAAAACAAAGATAGTCTGTTCATAAAATAACTTGTTATAATCACTTTTTACAGGATTTACTGTGTCTGATTTTTCTTTTAACCAATGTATCTAGGAAAAATTGATTGACGTGGTGTTACCAAGTAGTATTTGATGATAATAAGAGTAATAATAATAATAATAATAATAATAATAATAATAATAATGAAACTGCATAATCGTGTGTACCAGTTACTGACATGATCCGACAGATTGTTACTTCATAAACTGACTAAAGTTTAAATGTAAAAACACCGAATCCTAATCCAAGAGAAGTGTGTGTCCTTGATTTAATCCAATATTAGTAAAGACTTTAACCTTTATTGACCTAGGTATCTGAAATGTGTTTTACGCACGAATAACCTTAGTATGTCCTGACATGTATTGATGGCTTGTGTATAAATAAGTCAGAAAAGATTAGGGGCTATCAAACTGATGGTATAACATTCATTAGTTTGAGTTATTGTTTATTTGACTGAAGCATTTTAAGAGTAATGTCATTGCCTGACAGAAATTCATACAACAATCATAATTATTTTTTGTAGATTAGATGAAATAAAACAAATTAATTCATAATTTTTCTTACCCTCAATATTAAGTTTGAATCGTATGTTACAACTCTTATATATACTCGGGATTCTTATTAGTATTCTGTCATAAATATCACTTATATTCGGACAATTTTACTTTGTATGTTGTTAACTGCACTGATTCGAAGTGCAATAACAGGGTCTGGCACTGCCAAGTTTTACATTATTTCTGAACTTTTAACTGACCGATTGTTAAGTATTGATGATTTAACTCAACTAATGTATGCAGATTCATGTAGTCAGTTTTGAGTCACATATATGTGAGGGCTACTCGGTTTGTCAAACTGATGTAGGCGGACCTGGACCCGTAAAAAATGAAAATTGAATGCCTTAACTACTAATCCCTAATTGTTGCACGGATACAAAACAGAAAAAAATGTCCACTATTCGAACACTTAGTGATTATTCATCTGATGGAAACAATTTTTTCATCTAGGTTTTACCATGGATTTTAATTTAGTAATTTACATTTAAGCAGATGTCATATTACATTTATTCCCCATTCAGTTAAATGTTTTCAATCAGGTATTCTCTTTTTTTTCTATTCAAAAAATCAATAGAAACGACCAATTGTCAGAACATTCACTAAATTTTTCAATCAATCAAGTCCCCACAAGTGATTATGCGTCAATGAATTCTCTCAACACCAATTCTTGTTTATCATCATCACAATCTAGTTTGAAAAAACAAACTGTTTCTTTAAAAAGACGTAGCCGATGGAGTATTGATATAACAAAACGATCTACACGTCGTAGTAGTACTGGAAGTTTAAAAGTAAAACAATTGGATATTGAACAAAACAACAAGAATTTAAATGTAAAAGATACAATTCTAGAGTCAAAATTAGAACGTTCTGATCTATTTAAAGTGATTAGACGATCAGCACGTCGAACATTAAGTAGTTTATGTAATGTATTACGATATTCTAATCCAAATTTGGCAACTGCCTTAAATAATTCAAATATAAATGACCATTATACAAGTTCTGATCCTGTTCAATTTGATGAACACCGTATTGATACTTCTTTATCCACACAATCAGTTGAAGTAAATGATCTAGTAAAAGAAAACATTCATAACAGTCTTAATTCACAGAATAACACTGTTTTATCCCGATTTGTAACATTGACAAGACCTGATTTAGATGAACCATTCGGTTTGTTCGTGATCAAATCTGAAAAAGGTAAGATGATGTTTTTCTTAGTGTTAGTGATTAGCATATCTTTTTTTGTTTCTCTCCTATCAATCAAAGTGTAGATTTTATTGTTAGTCAAATCTCTTAATTGACAATATATGTTATTATCTGGATTTGTCTCTTTACTTGTCAGATTATGTTCACTGAATTCATGGATACTGACTGAAAAATGACAATAGTTTCATTTCATTGTGTTTAAGAATTAAGAATCTCAGAAAAATTCCTAAAACAGTTGAAATCTAATGTCAGATATTTTGGATCATTTCGATAGCTTAAACTAATGTACACCTAATATCAGATTAGGCATAATACATTCTACAAGTGTTGGCTTAATAGTTAAATTATTTGGTTTGTAAAGATTAGATCATAGTTTTTGTATTTCTTTTTACATTCTACTGTTTGAACAATGAAGTAAAAACTTAGAATATAAAACTTTTAGTTCATTGGCAAATGTATTAATTGATATGCATTTCATTCTTGAAACAGACGTTTTGGAATAGTCGTATTTATTCGTTTTGAGATGTTCTTTTATTACATATATCTGTTTTAACTCACTTAAGAGTAAATGGGCGGCTTAAACTTGGGAATATTTTCATTACCATGTGATGATTGTATATATGTTTAGAGTACTAATGGTTTGTAATCATAATATTTCAACCGATTCAAGCACCTACAATTTTTACTATATTTCAAACAACTTATTCTTCTTCTTATTTATTTTAACACATAGATATTGGTACAAGGAGGCATCAAATACATATGTGCCACACAAATCAAATGAGATTTGTGTGAGGGCTGTGATACCGCTCAGGTCCCAAAACCGAAGTAGGTGGTTTTCTTAGGGGGCCACATCTGGAGTCTTCGACTTAAAGGTCTGATCCACAGTGAAATGGAGCATCGTAAGGAGATGCAGTCCCATGGTAGCCGGTGACCAACGATTGGTTCATACGCCATTTGTTCCTTCAGGATACTGGAGCCCATGTACACCATTGGCTTGGAGTCAGGGTTTACCAAATCCCCATGAATTGACTCTCCTTGTCCACCAGCTCGGTTAAAGCGCCAAACATTCGCTTTTCGTCCGCTCAATTTCGTAAACAACACCCCCGCCACAAGAAGGCAGTGGGTAGGACTTCCCTGACAGAGGCTATATACACGTGGTCATGTGAGAGCATTTCGGAAGGGAGGGCGGACTCTCCCCACTCTTGGCCGTACCTGGGCATTTGGGGACTTAGTGATTTTTATTTCATTTACTTTTATTTAAGTAAACAGGTACAATCACTAACCTACTTATGAAAGTGTGGTTCAAACATGTGAACAAAAATAAGTTAAATTTTATCAATAAGAGGTTGTTTAATTTCATTGAAATCATGAACTGATTAATTTCAAACAATAAAACCATTTTGTTGATTCAATGGTCTAGAGATTAAGCATTTGAGTACAAGATGGAATGTTCTTTGTTCACTTCCTCTATGTAGGATAATGGATGGTCACTGCTGAGAAGACCCACACCAAGACGAAAAGGTTGTCCATTATATCTATGTTTTTAATAGTGGTTGTTAATATGTTATGCTAATCACCAGAATCATTACAATAATGAACTGTTGCTTAATTATATTGTTCTTTCTTTTCCACAGGTTATCGTATTACTCGTTTATCAGAACGATTCATTCAAAATAATCCAACGAATCAAATATCTATTGGTGATGAAATTATTCAAGTAAATAAAATTGATTCAATTAAATTTACTATTCATGAATTACAAGAATTATTTCAAAAAAGTCAAACACTTTTATTGACAATTATTCATCCATTACATTAACTAGATCTCTTATCCTACCATTTATCGGTACTCATTTAATCTATCAATAAGTAAAGATCAGTATGCGAAGAGGTTTTGTGGAGATTGTAGCAATTTCAATTGACTCATGATCTCAACTTTTGAAAGTGAAGATCAATTTGAAAATCACATTGTATCATTCTATTAAGTGATAGTTTACAATAGTTTATATATAGAGTTCTATATTCAAATGTTCATCTCAAAGTTTTACCTGTTTTATTATTACTATTATCAAATAGTTTGATGGTTTATTTTGTAAACATTTACTTATTTATTTTTCTATTTATTTTGTAACTTTTCATTATTATTACTTTTGTGCATAGAATATAAATAAGAGATTGATTTATACAAATGATGTTGTTGTCATTATTATTAACTATTGTTGATAATGAAAAGTGAATGATTCAATTTTGGGTTAGAAACATAAAATGTTAGGCAGATACATTAAATGGGTTGAATCTGTTGAGAAGTTCCATAATAGGACGAAATGCGCATCCAGTGTTTCCAGGTTTTCTATGGTGGTCTAGTCTCAAGTGAAACATGGACGGTAAGAGTAGAGGATATACGTAGGTTACTAGTATTTGATCATAGGTGTCTTCGAAACATTGCTCGTATATCCTGGGATCATCGAGCAAGTAACGCAGTTTTTAGGAAACGGGTACTAGGTAAGGATGGCAAATCAATTGATGAAGTAGTGAAACTTCATCAGTTGAGATGGCTTGGACACGTGTTACGTATGCCCAACGACCGACTGCCTCGACGTGCTATGTTCAGTGGTATAGGAGTAGGTTGGAAAAAAGCTAGGGGTGGCCAGACCAAAACATGGCACAAGTCCATGAAGTCACTGACAAGTGGTCTGAGTCATGTCGGTAGGTGTAGACTACCTGGTTGGGGACCACGAGATGATAGCAACCGATGGTTAGAGACCCTGAATGACATGGCTCAAAATCGTTTGCAATGGTGCAAGTGCATCCACTCTTTGTTTTCTCCCAAATTCTAATCTTCTGAATTCTTCATGTCCTTTATTTTCTTTCCAAATTTATTTCACTGGATTATACTCCTTGAATAACATCTTCAAACCCTAATCTTTCTGATTACTGCTTATACTCTTACTACCTCTACTACTGTGGGATTTGAATCGACAACTGCATCTCTGTGCTAATGTGTATGGCAACTCGAACTGATGTACGTACGTACTGAGTTCTACGTTGTTACTGACTGACTTGTGATCTTAACTATTAAAATTACTATAATATTTATAAAAACCCCTTCTGATATGCATAAGGTGATTGGAATATGTATTATCTATGAACAACCATCTCCTATCTCGACATGCGATATTAACCGGTGTATAAATGGATTGAAAAAAAAGAGAGTAATCTAATTAGACACGAATTAATATTGAATATTTTCTTTAAATAACCTAATTGTTCACATGACATAGTGAGGTCAGAATTGTACAGTTTACAGTTCTAGGATAATATATAGAGTTTAAATCAGGAACTGGTGTTAGTGGATGTCTTCAACTGTGTACGTTGCCAAATGTACTACAGACAGTCGAAATCACGACTTCCAGACTCGCACACGAACACTTGACCTTTATACTACTGAACCAAGTACCGATGGTGTAACTTCAATAAATTGATGATAGTGACCAACCATCTATTATTACCTAAGGTAAACAACTCTCTAACATTCGACTTGTTTAAACTCTAATGTTTACAATTTTTCACAAGAAAATATACACAAAAATCATATAACTGAGACTAGTTGTTATGTGATCGTTAACGAATATTAACACAAATTCTCAGTGGTTCGGTTGGTTAAGCGCATGGCGCGAGACTGATAGGCCCTGGGTTCGAATCTCACGAGGTGCGGGATCGTGGATGCGCACTGCCTAGGAGTCCCATACTAGGACGAAACGGCCGTCCAGTGCTTCCAGGTTTTCCATGATGGTCTAGCTTCAATTGACTCATGATTTCAATCTGTGAAATTTCTAAAATCTCCACAAAACCCTTTCTGATAATAATTTAGTCTTGATGATTTATTCAAACAACCTTTGAAGTAACTTTAAATCCATGAAATAACCTTCAAATTTATGTTAAGAAATCTTATCTAATTTATATAAAATGTACTTTTACAATAATATTTTCTGATGTTAACGGAATCCATCTGAATATCTACCATTATAGGTTAATAATAATAATTATTATTATTATTATGAGAACAACTCAGATTGTTGATGACCAGATCGATTTTTGCAATTGACCTTATAAATATTAATAAAACATTTGAAAAAAAAATTACCTTTCACATATTGATTATTCCTTACTATATAACACTTTCTATATATTTGTTGTATTACATAATCATACCTGTTCCAGTCTGGTCATCCGAATAGTATTACAGTTCACACACAAATCAAATGACTTATATGGCGCATATCATCCATTCGGTGCCCCTTTATACCAATATTTATGTACTCAAGTAAATAATTAAATACATAATCATATTCATAAATTAGTTAAGAGAAATAGTATATTAATAATAAATCAATAGTTGTTTTTATTTTAACTTATTTCTAGCTGTCTTTTTTTTAAATATCAGCCAAATATGGTTTATAATAAGTGGATAACGCGATGGCGTTTGAAATGAAAGGTACTGGGTTTGAGTCCTAGAGAGGGAACATCAGTTATGAGATATAGGTACATCCAGTCGACGAGTCCAAAATAGGATGAAACATCCTGTATTCCACTACTAGCCATTATCCATCTTTACTTATAAAGCTTGCGAATTAAGGCAATACGCACAGTATGTAGATATGTCAGTATGAGACTGATTAATTGAATTCCTAAATATCAATGGGAAAATTTAATTGAATCATGATTTGAACTACTGAAATTTCTAAAATCTCCACACAACCACTTCTGATAATAATCATTTGCTCACTAGTGACTGACTTCAGGAGGTATTTCCTGGAGTTCTAGTGAGAAGCCGTTACCAGTAAGATATCAGCTCACTGAAGACAATGATGTACGGTGGCGTAGTTTCGTGGGTTGGTTGAAGTTAGACATTAACACTGTTGAATACCGGCCGGCTCAGTGGTCTAGTGGTTAGGCGCTCGGGCGCGAGACTGATAGGTCCTGGGTTCGAATCTCGTGGGGGGCGGGATCGTGGATGTGCACTGATGTGGATTCCCATACTGGGACGAAACGGCCGTCCAGTGCCTCCAGGTTTTCCATGGTGGTCTAGAACCAATTGTTTCATGATTTCAACTATTGAAAATTCAAGTAAACAATTTAATTTATTTTAATTTAAAGTGTCGTCAACCAGAGTTAGCTTTAAAAAACCTGGAAGAAACGAACAGCCGTAGTAAACTTTTTTTACTAAAATATGGTCATCTGCTTATTGATGAATTGTTTCGAGTTCGGTCAAATCAAAAGGTGATACTCATCATTAATCTCATTAGATGAATATCTTGTCATATGGCGAATTGATTGAGATTGAAAGCATATACCATTGGTTCCTTACAAACTGATCTACAAGGTAAGTTTTCCATTCGGGAACGTAGATATTCATGTACTCAGTAATTTTATACATTAGTAAGTAAGAGATGTCCATGAGTGCTGCCAATCCATGACGGATACCAACCATAGATTTCGTATGATGTTTATATTTTACAAATTCCTAAGGAATGATAATTATGCATCATTTCCATGGAATGAAATTGTTGAAATTAGGTTTTAGTAAGGTATTAGATTTTTATAGATAATACTGTTTAACTTCGTTTCTACGGTATAATTATATTTACTAGATGGTTGAAGATAGTTGGTAAGAATTCATGAAATTAAGTTTTATATTGGTTGGTATTTATTGGCAATGGGACTCTACAGCTTTGAAAACAGCTATGTTCACTATCCTCAGCAATTTCATCCTGATTTACAGATGTAAATATTATGACACAGTTTTCCAGATAGTAAGTAACCAAAATTTGTCACTGAATACTTACAGCGTTATAATGTAGATATGTATTTCACAGATATGTGTAAGATTAGATAGCAACCTATAGAACAATTGAAAATCAAGGTATACAGTGAAGCTGTTACATTCTAGTTAGAAGCATATACCTAGTGTTATATTGACTAGATATAACATTTACATTTATTCATATTCATTCCCTATATACGAGCTTTCTATTCATATTTCATTCAAACCAAATTTATTATTCTCTTCAGTAGCTATTTTACAATAAAGATATATTTCAGATCAAATGAGAAGGTAACTGAATGATTGATTAAAGTCACTTGATTTCATTAAATATTGACTAAATATGTGGGTATATACATTTCAACGTATTCCTTTCCTTATACCAAATTCAATTACCTTGTGTGTGTATGTGTGTGTGAGAGAGAGAGTATATTTAACCAAAGATTAAATCGTTAATCTCAGAGAAGTTAATTATTATTATTATAGTTCAAATGTTTATAACAATTAATTGTTTTATTTTCAAATGGACAAATCATAACTAAATTATACAAATATATGCATATTTCAAGTTGAATAATTGAAGCTATCTAAACCTTGGGAAAAAAACAACAACGTTCAACAACCATTTTCCCCCACCACCCCCCACAATCCAAACACATACACACATGAAAAAACAAACATTTTTTTTTAATTATAAAATAGATACTAAAATATATCATGTGTAGCTGTTTACGCGTGTTTGTATGTATGGATAGGGGGAGGGGTGTGTATAAGAATAAAATAAATGACCAGTTAGTTATTGGGATAATTAACCTAATTCATTTGTATTATATAATCTGACAATATCAAATAAACAACGTTAATTAATTAACAAAACAAAACAAAACTTCCCACATTTCTCAATTTCACTTTAATATTTTATTAAAACAAATACAATCAGAATATGATTACAATAACAGATAAACAAATATATACAATTTTCATTATAATAAATC